ATGGCGTGGGAGGGAGTGCAGCGGGGTCTCGCTGACCAGCTGTACCAGGAGCTCAGCAACACCCTCACTCAGTACGGAAACGCCACCAGCCGGCGCTGCGGCCTCAACGACGAGTGAGTAGTGTCTCGGTGCTCTCTGACACTTTTTGGGTTTATAACAGGGGTTTCTAAACTACGGCCCGGGGGCCAAATGCGGCCCACGAGCCATTTTGAATCGGCCCTCATCAAATTCAAAAGGTATAATGTTATACGGCCCGCAAATGAAACTTGAGCTTGTCTTGTATTGTACTTCTTAAATACATCTGTAAACATATATTACTCAGTAGTGTTCATGTGTTAATAAGCCCAATTTCCAATAAATTAAGTCAATTAAAGTAAAAGATATGTTCTAACAAGTTGATAAAAAAAAGCCCAATGACTTATGAGCTGTCATCACATTAAATGAAACCCTCTGGAGAGCTGTGGTGTAGGCTGTTCATTTTTCTTAAAGCATATTCAAGTAACAAGTATAATTTACCTACATGTGATTGATTTTGCTGACTTCTAACTGAACTTATGAGGCCATAAACCTCTCCTCTAGGGAGTGGCCCAGCCCTTCGAATATCTTTCTGTATGTGGCCCTCTGTGAAAAACGTTGGACCCCCCTGGTTTATAATATACATGTGTGTGAATGTGCAGAGAGTTTTTTTTTTTTTAACTGCACCTGCATTTTAAGTGTTTTTCTTGGCATCCTAATAAAAACCTTTTGGACCTAAGACAAGAGTGAAAGTATGCGAAAACATTTTTCTTATGTATTTGAGTGGACGAGTGCAACTTCATGAACTTCTGTACAGAATATTTGATGTTAAAACTATTTTAAAAAGGCTAAATAAATCTAGGAAGATTACAAAAACAAGAACTTGCGAAAAAGTTAACTTACATATTGTAATATACAACTTATAATATGTACGTTTCATGGATAAAACCTTATGAGATGGGGGTTCAAATGCTCCCTAATAAGGATCTGTGACAATGAAAAGTCTTTCCAAAACAAGCCACATTTGACCTTTTAAATGATGAATACACAAAACCAAACGTTGACAGGAACCAGTTTTTCCAGAAAGCTATGCATTTTTAACACACCCTTGTTTATCCTGTTCCAGATACACCAACTGCTGCCACACTCTTTTATTACTCTACTTTCAAACTGTATAAGCTGATGAACTGATCATATATGAGGTCAACTTGTATCTGTTTGTCTTACACACATAAATACATAGAAGATAAAGTAAATATATGTGTTTTATGGCACTTCTAAGAAGTAACGGAAATACACCAGATAATTGACGTATCAGTTTAAAAACAATTACACTTTAGGTTCAGTGACCAGTCTAATACGGTTGAATAAGAGCTTGTATTTGCACTCCTGATATAATCCTTTTCAATTGAATTTAGCGCTTTTCTAAATACTCAAACATGCCAAACAAACAAACAAACAAACAAAAACAGATAAAAAAACACAAAATGCAATAAAATGAATTAGAAAAGCAGAAAATCACAAAACAAAAAAGTTGTGTCATTCTTTTCCCTAAATTCCCTTGGGACCTTTCTCTCTGCTGTGTTGTTCCATCCCACTCAGCCTCAGTGTTCCCAGGATGTAAGACATGCACAGGTTACACATCAGCAGTGGCTCAGTCAGTAGGGGCTTGGACTGGGAGCTGTAGGGTCGCCGGTTCAAGTCCCCGACCAGACCTAAAATATGGAGTGTGGACTGCTACTTGGAGAGGTCCCAGTTCACCTCCTGCCCTCCTGTGGTGCCCTTGAGCAAGGCACCAGACTCCCCCCTTCCCCCCCTCACTCCCATTGCTCCCCGGGCGCTGGACAATAGCTGCCCACTGCTCCTGGTACTAGACTCCTGGTCAGGGACGTGCACAGGTACGGGCTAATGTCGCCCGGGCAACGGCCCTTTTGAACTTTTTGGCTGACCTGCCCCTCTGGAGAGAGCGAAAGTATTTTCTTTCTGTTGTGGCCGAACATGATAAGCCCTCAATTAGTATTGTAGAGTCTCGCTGCGATAAAACACACCTTGTCAGCGCTGTCATCTGCCCCCAGTCACGTGACTTTGTTTACAATCTGACAGCTGAAAGCAAAGGAAAGCCCTCCGAGTCCGGCCTCATATGGCTATGGTGATCATGTGCCTGCCTGGCTTTGGTGGCCAATCCTCGGGTCAATCTGTCCCCGGAAATGTCCCCGTTTTTTAAATATGCTTTTATTGATTTTGAGTTTTCTCATGGCAGTTAGAGTATAGGGGACAAACCAGGGGACTTTACTTCCTCTTGACACCGTCGGTTATTTACAAAAAAAAACACCTAAATATACTTGTTATTGTGCTTCTGTCTTTCTGTGTCTTTTCATCTGCTCCGTAAACTCCCTCACCGCTCTCTCTCTTTTCTTGATCGCCCTCTCATCGGTGTGAACAGTTCAGCTGTCGCGCTTCATTGATAGGATTTTCTGCCATGTCTCAACTTAACATCCTCTGTTATTCAAGTTAATGGCAATTCTAAATAAATAGTAATTAGATTACCTTACCTGGATGTTTGCTCCATAACGAATATGATAAGAATAATGTGTATTTGAACTGTTTAATTCAATTTAGTGTAAGTTTATTAAGGTATCAGCTTTACATATGGTCTAACTTACTATTAAATACGTAATTGTCCGTCTATTTTTTTGTCTTTTACAGTTACTTATACATTAGATATGTTAATGAGATACGGTATTTCCGCTAAATTAACATAAAATTGTTGGTTTTCATTTTTTTTTTAATATCTTTTTTTTTTTATCGTTCTTTGGTGGTGGTGGTTGAGTATGTCCTTTTTCTAGTTTTAGTGTTCAATGTCTCATATATGTCTGTGTCATGTCTTCTCTGTCTCGTCTATCTATGTATGTGTGTGTTAATAGATTAATATGGTTTAGTGGTTATATAAGTGTATCATGATGTGTGTTCGTGTGGTTTTTGTATCGTATTATATGGATATATTGCTCTGGTATGCAAATAGCGATTTTATTATATAGTATATGTATAGTGTAATGTAAAAAGTGTGTGAGTTTTATCCGTCAAAAGAACTATAAGTCACAGGTAAGTACTAGGATTAGAGGCAATGTGAGATTCGGTCGGGTATTGTCAAATATCTGGAACAAACTCCCTGAAACCTGTCAGTCGCTGCAACTCTGATGGATCTTTTAAATCTCGAGGCTGTAAGACTTTCTTTTTGCCTGCTGCTTTA